ATCAAATTAGAGATCTTCGTATGGCTTATTGTCAAAATAGCAGCCTGGTTCCACCAACACATGACTATACTGTTAACTGTAATTCTCGTGCAATAACAAGTCATAATGACAACATGGTTCAACCTACTGTTTCACCAAGTAACAGTGATATCACAATCAATTCTCTTCCTCAAGACATGCATTCAATACCGGGTACCTTTCAAGATGCTGACACAACAAGAGATCAAGATGAAAATGCAGGATCACAATTACGTGCACTTGAAATCCATCGTTCTTATGTTTGTGCTGACATGATCAGATATTTTCAAGATGCAGACATCATGAACTCTGAATTGGTGTTCACAATTATTAATGAAAGGGGAGAACGTGAGGAAGGTGCGGGAATCGGCGTCAACAGAGAAGTCTTCTCCTTATTTTGGTCCGACTTTGCTGATTCAATGACAATAGGTGAAAGGGAAAGAGTTCCGTTTATTCGTCATGACCATTTTATTAAAGAGTGGGGGGCCATCGGACGAATTCTGGTTAAGGGGTATATATCTGTGTCATACTTCCCAATGTTCCTTACCAAGGGCTTCATTTGTTACTGTTTGTTTGATACAGAGGTACCTGACAGCATTCTTCTGGACTCATTTATGAAGTATCTGTCACCCATTGAAGAAGAACTGGTCAGTGATTACCTACACAGAACAAACTTCCCTGATGAAAATGATGAGCTGTTTGATTTTCTTGAACGGTTTAACTGCAGAACAACAGTGAATGAGGGTAATTTGAGAAAGGTGCTCATAGAGATTGCAAATCAAGAATTGATTCAAAAACCCCATGTGATGATTGCAACTTGGCCACCAAGTGTTCAAATCCTGAAACAATATCCACAGTTTCAGAGCATTGCAGCAGTTCAGGCTCTATATGATACACTCAAACCAACAAACAAGAAAGTTCTTGAAAAACTAGTGGCCCAACCAAATACAGATGGAGAACGTGATGCTATGAAATTCTTGCAAAGATATATCAGGGGCTTAGACAATGCAAAACTCGTCCAATTCCTGAGATTTACTACAGCATCTGATGTTATGATTAGCAACCAGATTGAAATTGCGTTCACAAAACTTGAGGGTGCTGCCTGTCGACCCATTTCACACACGTGTGGACCTCTGTTGGAACTACCCTCAACATACTCTAATTTTGTTGAGTTGAGGGAGCAATTTAACAACATTTTAAATAAAGGCAACTGGGAGATGGACATAATGTGACTGTGAGTGAAGAAACAATTAGCTCTTTGCATCTGTATATATAGATATGTGTTTTATGTGCCATGCAGTGTAAGAAATGCAACATGCCAATTACTTTGCTCTGTATGGATTAAGAACATTTTAAGCCTTTTGATACAACTGTGCATTTAATGTTAATTACAGGTTGCCTTTTAGTCACAAGAGAGTTCTCACTGATTCACATATTTATAATATTCATGTTTCCAAGTTAGTTGTGTAAATGTTTCATGTGATTATGAAATTCCTCAACTTTTCCTTACCCAAATATATGTGTCAAATGAAAATTCAGTGATGATAATAACTTGCTTTTTGATACTAAATGACTTCATGTCGCCATGATTAAAATCCCTAACAGATGTCTGTTGGGTGTAAGCTTGGTTGAACACTGCAATGCACCTAGCTTACTGATTAGGAGTGCCTTTGTTTTTAAAGCAAGGATTATGTTCATGAAAAGAGGCTAGCAGCTCACAGCATCACAGAAGCTTCCCACCAAAGTCAATGTTTTTGAGAACTTTTAAAGAATAGAATGGAGAGCATTTTCGTGGCTACCAAAATCTTAATAATAGCTGATTGTAACTAGGTGAACATAGAGCTGATGTAAGTATGCCTTTCATGTGAAAAATGTGATTTACAATTGCAGTTTACACTCCATGTTGAGGTGAGCAAACTGTTGACAAATTGATGATTTCTCCAAATTATGGTCATGCATTGAATCCATTTGGCCAAAATGTTTTCCTTTTTTTTGCTGTTATAATTTTCGCCACAAAGTTTTTGGCTTCTTTGATTCGATCGGTAGTATATATTTAAGAAGGTAAACAGTTTCCGTACATTGGTTTATTCAGTTGTTCCAGCTTAATCAAAAGTAGTATGACATGTTTGGTGCAGCTCTGGTGCTGTTGTTGCCAACTGAACACTGATGCTTTCTTAACAACGACATTGACCTGTACCTTGAAGTTGAGTTTTAAGTCTATTTTACAGCATAAATTCTTACAATAGGCTATTAGTGGCCAAAGTAAAACGTTATAATATTGTTGTGTTATCTCAACGCTCTGTTAGTGAAGGATACTTCAATACTTCACATGTTGGGTCTGGTTGATTTTGTTGATCAGTTAGTTACTTTATATGAAGTATGTTCTATACCTTCAATTCATATTCCTTTGACTGTAACATCTCTGGATGGTTTACTGGCCAATTGATGGCTTGATGCTTTCCCATGTGATAATTAGCTCGAACTTTAGTTGATAAAAAATTCAAAGCCATGGAAACAAAGATTACTTTATCTACTGAGTTAGGAAGGGATAACTTTAAGGCAGCGACTTGGTACCAGTTATTTAAGGATTTGGCTAAGAGTTATTAGTTAGTCGTTGCACAAGAAGTTTTAAAAATGTACCTTATTATTAAAGAATATTGAGATTTTCAACTGTAGTCCTGTTATCTTATTATCATACAGTAAGTTGACCAGTGCTGGCACAAGATCCCTACTTTCCTTTTTCATCCTTAGTTCCACACTTCTCAGAGGTGTGGAAGTGTGGAAAAGTCTGACAAAGTAAGGATAATGCCACACTTTCCTCCCTGTTAAAAACCCCTTGTCATTCTTTACTTAGTTCGACACTTCTCAGAGGTGTGAAAGTGTGGAAAAGTCTGACAAAGTCAGGATAATGTCACACTTTTTCCCCAGTCATGAACCCCTTGTCATTCTTTACTTAGTTCTACACTTCTCAGAGGTGTGGAAGTGTGGAAAAGTCTGACAAAGTCAGGATAATGTCACACTTTTCCCCCAGTCATGACCCCCTGGTCATTCTTTACTTAGTTCTACACTTCTCAGAGGTGTGGAAGTGTGGAAAAGTCTGACAAAGTCAGGATAATGTCACACTTTTCCCCCAGTCATGACCCCCTGGTCATTCTTTACTTAGTTCTACACTTCTCAGAGGTGTGGAAGTGTGGAAAAGTCTGACAAAGTCAGGATAATGTCACATTTTTTCACAGGCACTAACCCCTTGTCATTCTTTACTTAGTTCTACACTTCTCAGAGGTGTGGAAGTGTGGAAAAGTCTGACAAAGTCAGGATAATGTCACACTTTTCCCCCAGTCATGACCCCCTGGTCATTCTTTACTTAGTTCTACACTTCTTAGAAGTGTAGAAGTGTGGAAAAGTCTGACAAAGTCAGGATAATGTCACATTTTTTCACAGGCACTAACCCCTTGTCATTCTTTAGTTAGTTACACTCCTATGTATGAAATGAGAATAAAGCGCAGTGGGAGTATTTGTTGGTTTTATTCCTGCAACTCGTTTTACATCTTTTTAAATGTTATTTTTAAGTTTAGACAACAATTCCGTGACTAGAAGATATTAGCCTTGTTTCACTGCCATCTGTTTGAATACCCGACCATAAAACAAGCCTACGTTTTCTCTGTCACGAAGTCCCCGTCAGTCCTTTATCTTCGTTTATTTTTTAATTTATTTTTCAACGGAAACCTCAACAAAGTCATCTCATCTATGGATCTTTATGTTTGAAATTTTTCATCTTAATGTGCCATATATGAGACGTCTTATTCTGGGTTTTTCTCCTTCCTATAGAACTATTCGGCCGACTCAATGTCGTACCCAATTAACACGCTTTGGGTATAAAGCGTTTTGTCTAAGGAATTTCCATATCATTTAAATGTGAATACCACATTTAAGATCGTGACAACGCTAAAAATAGGCCGTAAAGAATGCAGTGAATGTGCGTTCTATCTTCCTCGCTTTAAGATCACCTTGATAAACTTTATAAATGCTCAAATCAATTGTTATTGTTCTATTCCTTCTTCAGGTTCATGACCTAAATTGGTCTAAAAATATACAGCATTCTGCAGATCTCTCTGTGGAAAAGCGGGAATGACTGTTTAGGTGCGTGTTATAGGGCCGGCAATATTTATGTTATCTCTACGGCACGTGACAATACTAAAATATTTGCATGGTCCACCCTCCTCTTTGTCTTTCGAGAGTAACCGTTAGGTGAATTCTTTTTCGAGGCTTCTTGGCCTTGAGCCGCTCACCTCCGAGCGTGGTGTTGCGTCTGTCGGTGATCCCGTTAATCGTGGCGAGCGCCTGGGAGATTCTGCCGTCACTTCTAATGCGCTTTCATGGCCATTTTTCCTTTTCGCGCTACAGTTGAAGGGAAAAAATAGCCAATTAAGTCTTAATTTCCTGGGATCATTTGCACTTCACGATACATTCTGATGGAAAACAGTGTCTCTAGATCGTGTAAATTGATTTTTATTTTCTTTTATCTGGGTAACTATCTTGACGGCTGATAGCATGAATTGTTTTTTTCCGTTTGAGTATTGACGAATTACTTGTTAAGATGTAGCACATCAATATGCTGCGTTAAAACTGAATATATTAATTATCCGTCGACGTGTCAAAACTCAGATGTGCTTGATTGAACGCGCTGGTAATCTTTTTGTCTTCTGTGGCCCTCCTTTAAAAATTTGGTTCCATCTTAAGGTCGAGTAGAATTATGCCGTGTTTCTCTGGTTGAAGGAGTGACCTGCATAAGTCCGCTTCGGTTTTTGATAAAGGTAGCATACCATCTTACAATTAATTTATTTTAATTTTCAATATTCGTTATAAACGGCACGTCTACTGCAAAATCATGGAAAGTTTTCATCACTGCCTGCTGATTATGATAAAAGTTAATGTAGATAAAAAATTCTGACATTGGAAAAAGAAACAATAACAAAAAAAGTCTACCTTGTCCTTGAAGGAAGTATCTCTTCTTCCATCAAAGACTGGCGATACTGTCGCAGAGTTACTGCGTACTTCGCCAGTTTGTCCGCCAATTCCGCTTCTCCCCCCTTCTCTATGTCAGTCTTGACGAATGTGTATTGCTACGAACAAAGAACAATGAAGGGAATAAGAGCCACGGTATTATAATAGTTACGTAAAACACCAGTTGGGGGGAAGATGGGAAAAAATATACGTTCTGAGACTCTAGTGTTTGTGTGGTAAATTCAAAACGGATCGGTCGCCACCAACCTTTGCGGTTCCCTGTGTCTTCGTTGAAATAACGATTCCGAGTCCATCCTGTTCGAGACTGGTGATCGTGTCCACTGCCCCTTGCTTATTCCCTATGTCCCTAAATTTCTTTTTTTCATTCAGGGCTGTGATGTGCAATCTCTTCCCAGGCAGAAGAAGTACGTATCCTCCAGGATTAGCCACTGGCTTGGCAGCTTCATCCGTTGACGTCTGTGTCGGCGTTCGAGCAATGTCATCCTGGAGCATACGGACTTCTTCTGCCGAGGAATTCCTTCCACATAAATATAGGGTGTGGTTAATACAAGTCGCAACGAAATTTACAGCTGCTTTGACGGCACTGTCTGTAACAACCGTGGAGGGCTCAAAGTCTGATTCACCCGACGAGAAAGCATCATTAAAAGAGTCTAGCTGAAACAAGCAGTGAAGACACCCAGTCATCCGTAGAATGAGTCCTTTACTTTTGCTTAACAGTCCTACGAACAAACAAACCATTTCAGAGTTAGACAAGAGTTAGTATTTTTATCAACATTTTTGGGTGGGAGTGGGTTATTTTCGAATTTAGATATTTTCGGCTCAACTTTAAGAAGGCATTACGGTCATTCTCTGTCAGTACAGAAAACTGGAGCAGCCAGTTGTTAATACAGATCGCTACGATCACTATGCTTGCTGAAAAACGTCCGCCTAGATCTGACGATAGTTCACTAAGGACGAATCCTAAGTAAGTGTAAGACAATCATATACATACCGCATAGTAAGTCGTCTCTTCCAGAAATCCCCTTTAAGTTTGCTTGGATCCTATTAAAGGCGTCCTTGAAAAGATCGTTACTAAGGTCTGTTAGGTAAATTTCTGTGATCTTCCTTGGAGATTTACGCTGCTTAACAGCAAACATGAAGAGCAGATTAACTGAAGATAACAAAGAGATGAATAAATCAGTAATAATATGCCTTGCGATATAAGACGTTTATACAAGGGCAAAATAGATGAACAAGCTGCAATTTTTTCAGTGCTAATTTGCGCTCGCGAAAGGAGCCCTTAAGGTTTCGTGTTTGTTGATTTCTTGCCTTTCTGAAGGGAAGCTGCCACTACTGCACTATAATTTGTTTTACAAAAGGAAAATTTTTTGTTAACTCCCGGGGTTCTGGAGTCCAAACTGAGAAATTCACTGAAACGATCAGAGACAACAATTAAGCAATTGTGCAATTATGGTACAACGACAGCGACAACGGGTCAAAAAGGGAAAAGAGCCCGGGTAGCAACACAACACATCTCCACGCGCATACCTCTGCTTAATGATGCATAACGCGGGCTCTTGCGTAGATCATGGATCATAGGACTTTGGCGTTCCCATTGGTTGAGGACTGTATTTAAACACACAAGGAAGAATGTATACTTTTTCTTTTAATATCTTAAAGAATCCAACTTCAACAGGATATTTCACGGCAGCTGCAATGATCAGACAGATATTGAGATAACGCTTGATAGGTTTTAAAGAAAGCTAGTTTATGCCGACTCATAGTAAGGAAAGTTGTTATGACAAGTTACCGAAATGTTACGCAGTTTTTATTTATTCAACTTACCGATTTTGTTATAGAAGGTTTCATCCACCTTCCCAAGTGTGTCATACTCTAAGAATTTTGGCTCGGGACAAATCCACAGAAAGCGTTGAGAGAGTCCTTTTTCTGCGTTTCCAGGGACGATCATTATGTTCGTGGCCGTTGATGGCTGAGTAAAACCACCTACTGTGAGACTAGTGAACTCCATTGAAAAGTTACAGTCTCCACCCACTGTAATATAAACAGCCAAGAAGGAGAAGCAATGTTTGAGATCCTCATGACGACTGAGCTAATGTGTTATGGTAGTTTCATGTTCCCCTTAGAGTAACCATGAGCCATGCTCGATCAACACTTTCCAAAGCTCATGCCAGTTTAAGATAAAGTATTGAAAATTTTGTTCGATGGAAACAATTGAAATTCCTTTCAAAAATCACTGTCCTTCTACTAGTATTTGGGGCAGAACTAAGGGTCGCGCTTTGTCTACTGACTTTTAATGCTTTTAATGGATCTTGGATGCTACTGGGTATAATGTGGCCGACACCACAAGTTGTTGCGTTGTTTCCTTTTCGCAGAATTATTTCCTTTTCGTGACTTAAATTAGTAACTCTTATTGTAACATTCCCTGGGGGCACAATCTTCTCGCTTGAAAATTTTTGTCCTTTTTCAAATTTGTTAAATAAAATAGGCAGTCTACTAAACTGCTCTTGTCTTGACCACTCAACTCTATGATAAATCAAATTTACGCAATCTCTCTGTCTCATTATCGTAGTGACGAGTAGAGAGGATTGTTTTACCTCAAACCTTTGTCAATCTAACCACGATAGTTATGCCTTAATTAATTAGAGTATCAACCAAGACTAACTAAATTTACTGAACTGAGACCCCAAAAGAGGGTGGACTCCTTAAAAAATTGATATTATGTAAGTCTAACCTGTTTTCCGAGACCAAGGTAAGCCATTGTACAGTTGAAGAAACATAGCCAGGTCGTGTGTGTCCGAGAGGCCGCGATTTCTGTAAACGTTTATTTGTGTGAGAAAATGCGTGATCTCGTCATAGAGTCCAATTAATTTGTTGCCATTTTCAGCCATCATAGCCCCCATTTTTTCCATTGAAGCCTCCTCTACTGCCCAGTCTGGAAGAGCATCGTTGTTCGATGTATCTTTTCCACTTGCGATAACGCGTTTTCTCACGGTATCCAAAATTCCCCTCAAAAATTTAAACAACGTCGACTTTCCTGCACCGGTCGGCATTACAATTACAATCCATAATATCATAGGTTCAAACCAATCCTTCCCAAAAGGATTTACCACGGCGTGAGAGGAAAAATACGAAATTAACATCAATAAGCCCGACAGGACTGCAGTTGCAGGAACACTCAGGGCCTTTCCGATTTGAGCTGTACCCTAGAGACAAAGACAGAAATGGACTTTATAATTACTTAAAGTCGCGAACAACGATTAAGTCGAATCACTAAAGCCACAATCTGCATTTTCGCACTTTCATTTTTCTAATGACAGCAGGCCATTAAGCGATAGTGACTGAGTCTTTTAATTTAGTGCTAAACACGGATTTGCCCCCAGAAAATGGGCTTATGTCTAATCAGTTTAATCAGCAATACCAATACCTCGAGGGTAACTGGGTGGAAGAGCGTAGCCAAAAGGATTTTACGGTATGCCCTTAACTTAAAACTCAAGGTGTTAACGACATTACCCTCTAAGTAGCCGTTAATATCAAAGCGAAGAGACGGACAACAATCCAACCGCTAACCGGCCACCCCGTCAACTTTCCCGTTGATGTTTAAGCAGGTTAGCGGTTGCTTGAAAAATTACTATCCGCTTCACTGTCAATTTGCGTTCAAATACTATAACAGTTGAGTTATATTGTAATTACTGAAACGGCTGTGGTCGGCTTCCAACAGAATTAAGTGTGTCAGTTAATCCCCTCGTTAATCACAACTCACAGCTTACCGTCCGTATAGAATCGGGAACGAGGTTCCAGTCCAAATCCTCCGTCCAGCACTTGTTTAGAGCTACTCTTTGGTTGTCCTTTCGACGTGATGACATTCTCTTTACTTCAGCGACTGATCACTACACTATTCACACGTTTGGGGGGTCCCTTATATTTAGTTTAGGGTTGCGTGTTCCCCGTAACTTTGCGTGTTTCAAGTGCGAAGTCCTGAATGGTTTATTTTCCTTTTAGCTAAACGGGCTTGACAGGACATTTAATTACATGACACATCGGGATGATTCTCTTGTTAATAATATATCTGAAACACGTATAACTTTCCAATTTCTGTTTGTCTGGACGAAACGTAAGTCCACTTGAGCGATGTTTAGTGTTCTCGCAAATTTCGGATTCAAATTGTCCTCAATCAGACGTCTTGGGTTTGCCGCTATACACCTACCGCAGGAGTTGTCGCGCTTTTGGGAACAAGTGACACCCTTTGCCAATGACGCTTTCTGTTCAGGGTCTTCAACAACAGAAAGAGTCACAACAAAAGATCAGCCTGAAAGATGCACAACTGTGGGTTGAGAATCTGATGGAAATGGATTCAGAGTTATTCAGGACCGATGCCAGTTTGTTTGAAGAACTTTGCACATGGTCCACAAAGGACAACAATCCGTTAGGGTGCGTCCTCATCTCAAAAAACTGTCATTGTAAAGTGTGTGGAGATAAGTTGTTACTCAAAGCAAGGGAGAGTGTCAGAAAGATTGTTGTTTATGATGACAAACAGGGCACGTACATTGGATGTCATTACATTAACTTTTGCCGAAAACCCACCTGCAAATTTCGCCAGTACTACGGGAAATACTCCCCCGATGGTATTGAGATTTTCTATGATGATGACTGGATGGAAAATAAATTTTTCTTGTCTACCCAACAGACTGCATTCACTACGAGTTTTCTAAAGAGCTTTGATGCTGAACTATTCATCGGACAACTTTCCTACAACCAAAAAGCGAACATCTATAATGCATTTTATGGGTACAATCGCGGGCTAAAGAAGACGTCTAGCTCAGAGAAGGGAAAGGAAGACCATGTACACCAAGCTGATAGTGAGGAGACATTTTCTGGAAAGGATAACAGGTGAGTGACGGAAGTTATTTAGTCGTTTTATCTGCAACAGCGACATTCGAAAAAGCCACACGCATTAGAAAGAGACACGCAATAGTTCGTTCACGTTTTGTTAAAAGTAACAGGCCAAAATAATAAAAACGTATATTGCACGGAAAAGAAACTGATTATGGTGAAATACGTTAGTGTTAGCGGATGTTTGGGGGTGCAACCCTGCAAATAAAGCTTCCCAAGTCAAATATTCTTCCTTGATTTCTTATTAAAAGGTGCATAAAGAAAAACCATATTAAAAAGTAGTCGTTATGCGATACGACTTGCGGGTAACTAGGATGGGGAACTTAGAATGTGAAAAAAGCAAACAAAGGGGATACAGTGAATTAGCCAGTTTGAAAGTGGTACTCACGACATACAGAGAAATCGCGTGTGTCATTACTATTACCACTGAATTTTATCTTATTATTACTATCAAGGTGAAAATTGGTAGTCGAGTCAGGTAATCTATAGAGCGGTATATAACTTAATTACTCCTTTTGACCAATCTGTCACAGACAACTCCTCTTCATAATTTAAACTTCGCACTGAGTCGAGTGACTGAACAGATGACAGTAAAAGTAGCCTTTACCAACAAAGAACGAATTTAGCCGAATTCAGCAAAAACTATTCAGAAAGAAACTACTATGTGGGTTACATAAATTTCCAAACTAGATTTACCTATAGAGACAAATGAGCGCTAAAATATAAACAAACAAAGACTGCCTTGTTCTTTTAGTGCAAACAAGACAGCAGAGGAAATACTAAAGGAGAGGGAGCAGCTGGATAGACGCCGACTAGAGCACGCACACCTTCAGTATGCTCTGCTGCAAATGATACATTTCTTCCCGGGATCCTTCATTCTGAAGAAAATATCCTTCAAGAATTTCAGCGAAACTATCACCAATCTGGCTCCGTCTCTTCACGAAGCATTCACTGCGCACTATGCAGGTAGGACGTCATTTTTTGTTGTCTTTTCAGAAGTCAAAACGTCCCACGGCCAGTTACGGCCAAAAAATCTTGTTGTTTTTTCTACTTAAAAAAAAAACGTGCTAAAGGTATCTTGTCTTCTTCTAAGTCAAAAGAAGTGAGGTGAAATAATATGTTGACAAAACCTCTTTCAGGCCATTCCTGCACGTTTCCTGGATGTGGCCGTTGCCTTGTCTTAGATGGAAATATGAAAAATCGGAGAGACGTTTGCATGACTAGAGACGCTGGTTACATATCGTATGAAGGTCTACCTGGCTCAATTCGCACTGGCTGTATCAATTCACCTGCAAATAACTCCAGGTTTTGTGAAGACCATGCAGAATTTGTGTGTAACCCGGAAACGGCTTGTGATGAGGAAAAAGTTGCTGGTGCTGCCATTGAATGTGAGGAGTTCTCTTACGGACCGATCACCCGTGCAAGAGCCAAGGCAAATGGAAAAATCCCAGATAAAGAGTTTGTGATAGAAAAGATTATGGATAGTAAAGTGACGAGGAGTAACACCTATTATAAGGTACATAAACGAAGATCTCAAGAAATATAACGTTTGTCATGCTAACATAAATAACAAGCAGAAAAATTGAAATTGTTAAAGAAGGCAAGGCAAATCGTTGTACAAAGAAAAGGGTCACACACACACAACAACAACAACTTGGCCTAACCAGCAATTAACGCGAAAGCCACGTTAAAACTGCTCCATCTATTACTTATTTCCATCTTGTTAACAGTCTTAAATGTGCCATAATATTCTTTCGGCCAAATTAAATAATGTAGCAATTCTTATTGCGCTCTTGTTCCCCTCATTGTTAGGTGAAGTATTTGGGAAAAAGTGAGTCTGAGGCCACGTGGGAACCATGCAACGGGATCTCAACAGTTCTGATAGAAGGTTATGAGAAAAGACTGGAAACAGTGGTAACAGTGGTAGGAGACAATTACAATGGTCAGATGTCATCTACGCTAAAGTCAGCATTCCAGAGTGGAGAATCATCTCAACCACCTGAAAAGAAGCCGAAAAGCTCCAACAGTGAAATACCACAAGAAGGGTATGAAGGAAAACCATCAAAAACTTAAAGCTTCTTATAAAAAAGATACTAAGAAAATACAAAGACATGTAGTGAAAAGCAAAAAACCATACAATTCAGATTGCATTCCATTGCTGCTTTCGTACTTCTAGTATTATTGCTCAATTGTCATTTCATGGTTGGGACACTTAGTCATACTACTGCCGACTCCTCTATTACGGACAGTTTGGACCCGAATATTACGTAGCTCTGTTGATAAGCAAAGCTATAATTTTTGTGGGAGATTACAATAAACTTACCATGAGATCGAAAAAAGGGTTCATATTTGATAAACTCAAATAATTCCACAAGAACTTTCCAAATAATTAGGCGGGAAACTTTATAACTGATTTGTGCTTTGTTGTAAATACAGAATTTTTGCATGCAAGAGAGACGCAACCTTGTCCTGCAAAACAGAGAAGGACCGAGATGCAAGGCAGAGGAAGAATGACCGCTCTGCAGGTAAAATGCAAATTGTTCTCCTTTCAGGGCACAAGCCCCGTGACAATGGAGGGTCTCCTTGCGGTCACTATACACCTTGAGGATTGAATTTGACCAGAATTTTAGTACTGAGTTTATATATATTTCGATATTGTCACGCAGAATCCTGACTGTAATATAGAACAGCTTCTTCGCAGAATTCAAAAGTGATTCAAATGTAATTTTACCTTACTAAATTTTTTTTTCTTCTCATGGACATGGCTACGTAAATTTTTTTTCCGCGCAAACCCCTAGTGTAGACGTCTAGAAATACAGGCAGGAGCATCTACATGAATATACTTATTTTTAGAGTGTTCGTTAAAAATGCTTGATTTACTTCCTCTGAAGTTCACAAATTAGTATTCACAAAATGATTGTTTACTCCTAGGAATACTTTGTATTATGTCGCCGTGTGGAGTGATTACCCGGTGGTCGGAATTATTTTGCGCGGAATCAAAGACTCAAGTCTACGCAGTGTTGCACGATTTGTTAAGCCGGAATGAAAACATATATGAGCCTATAAGTAAGAAACACTCATTAAAAATTGTTGTATATCATTATGTACTGAAAATAGTAATAATAATAATAATGATAATGATAATGATAATGATAATGATAATGATAATGATAATGATAATGATAATGATAATGATAATGATAATGATAATGATAATGATAATAATAATAATAATAATGAAAACATACACAAAACCGTGAAACAAGATTTTTATCATTACAGTTCTGTACCCTGTCCATGACCATCCACTGATCAATTACTCGCAGGGTACATTATTTATGACGATGGATGCCATTTGAAGAAATTTGCTCAAAACCCTTCTCGACGGGACGTGACAAGGACTGCAAAGAGATTGTCACAGCTATCGATTCTGGTGGACAAAATGCACATGAAGGGCCATGTCGATCAGTGGTGCAAAGAAAACTGCGACGCAAACAACGTAGAAGAGCTCAAAGGGGTAATGAGAGGAAAAAGATGTGGTGTGCAATGTTATTAATTTTATTTAGTACTATAACGATCTCAGTTTCATTTAATAGGTCGTCGGCCCTAACACTGAAACTTATTTTAATCTTATCACTGACTAAGTTATTTAATCACGGTAATTAATCCTTTGGCGGCATATAAGTGCATTCTAGCATGAAGCGATATACAGACGTTTTGATGTTGTCATATGACCTCTTTGTGTTTCACCTACAGATTGACACAGAAGTTTGCCAGCAGACCTTCTCTTGGCTGTCAAAATATGCAAAAATGACAAGGAAAATGAACAGAGGACACTTCGTCTTTTTCATAATTTGTGTCCAGCATTTACATAACCTTAGAGAAGAGGAAAAACTGAGAAACAGTGGATATGTGGCGTGATCTAACAATGATCAAATTTGAACCCGTACTGATAAAGGAAGAAAGCTTGGTTGGTGATCGGATTTCTTAACTTTAAGTTTCTTTCAACAGCTGGCATTGAAACAATGGTTATATCTGCTATTCAAAATAAAAATAGTTCTTTAGGAAAAATGTAAAAAGCCATACAGAAATAAAACCAAGTGCTCATAAAGCTTACTGAGCTTCTCGTGACTCAGGGAAAGTGCGACATTAAACTTACCTTGTCAGACTAATCTACTCTTCCACACCTCCGAGAAGTGTGGAACTAAGTAGAGAATGACAAGGGGTTCTTAACAGGTGGAAAAGTGCGACAATATCCTTACTTTGTCACACTATTTCACAGTTCCACACCTCTGAGAAGTGTGGAACAAGGTAAAGAATAACAACGGGTTCATGACTGGGGGAAAAGTGCGGCAATATCCTTAGTTTGTCACACTATTCCACACTTCCAGACCTCTGAGAAGTGTGGAACTAAGTAAAGAATGACAAAGGGTTCATGACTGGGGGAAAAGTGCGACAATATCCTTACTTTGTCGGACTATTCCCCACTTCCAGACCTCTGAGAAGTGTGGAACTCAGTAAAGAATGACAAGGGGTTCATGACTGGGGAAAACGTGCGGCAATATCCTTAGTTTGTCGGACTATTCCCCACTTTCACACCTCTGAGAAGTGTGGAACTAAGTAAAGAATGACAAAGGGTTCATGACTGGGGAAAAGTGCGACAATATCCTTACTTTGTCACACTATTCCCCACTTCCAGACCTAGACTGAGAAGTGTGGAACTAAGTAAAGAATGACAAAGGGTTCATGACTGGGGGAAAATGCGACAATATCCTTACTTTGTCACACTATTCCCCACTTCCAGACCTAGACTGAGAAGTGTGGAACTAAGTAAAGAATGACAAAGGGTTCATGACTGGGGGAAAATGCGACAATATCCTTACTTTGTCGGGCTTTTCCACACTTCCACACCTCTGAGAAGTGTGGAACTAAGTAAAGAATGACAAAGGGTTCATGACTGGGGGAAAAGTGCGACAATATCCTTACTTTGTCGGACTATTCCACACTTCCACACCTCTGAGAAGTGTGGAACTAAGTAAAGAATGACAAAGGGTTCATGACTGGGGGAAAAGTGCGACAATATCCTTACTTTGACGGACTATTCCACACTTCCACACCTCTGAGAAGTGTGGAACTAAGTAAGAAGTGAAGAATCTCTGGATTTCATGGCCAGCGCTGGACATGGCTCATCATACACTGAACAGCAGCTGATTTGTTATTCTTTTGTGTATATGTTAATTAGCCTCACTTGCCTCATTTTAGAGTAAACATTCTTTTCAGTTCTGATTTTTTTGGACTTACTAACCAGGCCAGTTAGGCTAATTAACATTCAAATACACACTGTAGAAGAGTAATAAATTGGCTGCCGTATTTGCATTCAATGTATACTGTCAGCATTCTGATTGGACAGAAGGAGGTGCAGTCCTGATGTATCTATATAAAAGAGCAGAACATATACTTTGGAAATCTAAACCCTCGGATTAAGACCATCATCTTGAATTTTACTTTAAATGAACATTTATCCTAAAAGTGCCAAAATTGATATTTTCGTACATCAGAGTTTTATTTTTGGAAGCATTTGTTGAGCTGAAAAAAGTTAAAAGATATGTCTTCCATATTAAAAATGGCTTGACCTCATTCTACTCATGACGGCATATCTTGTTACCTTAGCAACAGGTTGTCAATCAAACTTGACAAAACGTGTTCTGGAGATAACGAACAGCCACTGAGGACGGCCTCTTGGAAAATAGTAAGGGAGAGGGGGGGGCAGGGGTGTTGCTGAAAGCCTATTCACTACGTTAAGTTTTCAATCTCTTCAATAAGTCGCAGATATAGATCAAGTCCTTCATCAACATCTTGTGGTGAATGCAGTCCAAGTTCATTTATAATTGTTATAGCAAACTCCTCAAACTCTTCTCTAAAATCAGCAGGACACATGGTTGAATTATCAATGAACTCTTCTACCTCATGGCGGTCAACGTTCACTTTGTAGTCTTCTGTGTTGTAAAGGTGGGGTAGGAAATACATACAATCAGGTTTTCCCCTGGGACCACTGCTGTTACCAAATTTGCTTGAGGCTATGTGATGTTGATTCCAGATTTCCGCTACTTGATAAAGCTCGTCTCTCAATATTTGCAGAAAGCAAAATCGGATACACTCCTGGTGAACTGGATCGGAGCTAATAAATAGGCCCAGGTCTGACAAATCTTTAAAAAAATTAATCCACCAACCGGGACCATCTTTTACAAGTTGTGACCAATAAGCTTCAATTCTTTGGTCTGCTGTGGATCTGCCAAAAGCAAAACATCCCATGCCAGCATTTTCATCATTGTGGGCAGACCTAAGGTAAGTATGAATTGCCTCGATCACACTGTTTTCAGTTCCATCATCTGATCTGATCTTCCAAGGTACTCCACCTGACTGCTTCACAGCTTCGAGATAGTATTTAGCAATCACTTCTGGGTTTTTGTTTGTGGGACCCACCTCCAGCCAAATCAGCCGTCTTGAAAAACCATCTATGCATCTATGTACGCTGAAGCCATACGGTTTTAATTTGTCGTGGCCATCAATATGCCAAATGAAATTCGGTCCTTTTGAGTGGTATGCTCGTCGACGCAGCCTCTTTTTTCGTCGGCTTTCTACGCCTTCAGGATCATGTTCTCTGAGACACCTCATGACCATACTTCTTTTAGAAATAACTCCCTTCCTTCTGAGCCTTGCCCACATCTTACGGCATCCCACAAAACAACCACTTTTACCAAGTTCCTTCTCGATGGCGTCCTTCAGTTCATGGTCAGATGCGGTGTCTCTTCTTGATAGTCCTAAAGATCGAAGACGTCTTTTCAGGGTTGATAAACTTATAGTTACGCCATGGATCTTCAAGAATTCAAGTATTTCAAGATTGTTGTAGCCTTGTTTAAAATACTGTGATATAAGTTCCAGCTCATTTTGGTCAGAGCTATCATGACAGCTCATGCATGCTGTATATTCCGGTAAAGGCATTTCCTAGCTTATTGAAGCTTAGATGTTTGGGGATTTGTTCGTTGGAATCAAAGATGGCGGAGAATTGAAATTTCCGCGGTTTTGGTAGATGATGAGAGAGATCTGGTAGCTAATCAGAAATAAAAACTGGACTGTGTAAAAAAATAAAACTGGACTCTCTAAAAATTAAAACTGGACTGTGTAAAAAAATAGAACTGGACTCTCTAAAAATTAAAACTGGACTGTGTAAAAAAATAAAACTGGACTGTGTAAAAATAAAACTGGACTGGGTAAAAATAAAACTGGACTGTGTAAAAAAATAAAACTGGACTGTGTAAAAATTAAAACTGGACTGTGTAAAAACTAAAACTAGACTGTGTAAAACCATAACTGGACTGTGTAAAACCATAACTGGACTGTCAAAAACCAATACTGGACTGTGACCCTCCTGGGCCATCGTACGGAACAGTAAAATATTTCTTCACGTAATTTATAAATCGAAAAAGAAACAAACTTGTTATGCATTCTAAACGTCTTTTCAATATAGCAAGATTCGAACACGAAAACGAAATGCGAAGAAAAGCATCAAAACAGAAAAATAATTTGGAATCCAGCCCTTTTTGGAATCCGGAATCCAGTACTCGGAATCCGGAATCCACAGGGTGGAATCCAGAATCCAAGACTGTCATGGATTCCCTTACATGGGGCGAATTGCTAGATCACGCCATATATCCACTGTTTCGTAGTTTTTCCTCTTCTCTAAGATTATGTAAATGCTGGACATAAATTATGAAATAGGCAAAGTGTCCACTGCTCATTTTCCTTGTCATTTTTGCATATTTTGACAGCCAAGAGAAGGAATGCTCGCAAACTTCTGTGTCAATCTGTAGGTGGAACACAAAGAGGTCAGATGACAACATCAAAACGTTTGTATCGCTTCATGCTAGAATGCACGTATATGCTGCAAAAGGATTAATGACCGTGATTACATAACTTAGTAAGTGATAGGATTAAAATAAATTTGTTCTGGCCGACGACCCCAAAAATGAATCTCAGATCGTTCTAGTACTAAAAAAATTAATAACAATTGCTCGCCGCATCTTTTCCCTCTCATTACCCCTTTGAGCTCTTCTACGTTGTTTGCCTCGCAGGCGAGTGGCTCGAGGCCAAAAAAGCTCGAAAAAGAATTCACCTCAGAGTGACTCTCTAAAGACGAACAGGAGGGTGGACCATGCAAATATTTTTGTCACGTGCCGTAGAGATAACATAAATATTGCCGACCCTATAACACGCACCTAAACAGTGATCCCCCTTTTCCACAGAGAGATCAGCAGGTAGCTACTCTAGGCCGATAAGACAATTATTACTTTATACAGTATGCTATATATTTTTATACGAATTTAGGTCATAAACTGGATGTAGGATTATATCAATAACAATTGATCTGAGCATTTATAAACTTTATCAAGTTGACCTTAAAGCGAGGAAAATAGATCAGATACTCTGCGTTCTTTACGGCCCAAATTCAAATCTCCCGGGGTTAAGATTCTTTGTGTATTGTATTTGCATTATAATGTGGCATTCACATTTTTAAAAATGGTATGGGAATTCCTGAAGCAAATATATGGCTCATTAAGATGAAAAATTTCAAACATACAAAACCAAAGAAAAGATGACTTTTTTGAGGTTTCCGTTAAAAAAATAAATACATAAATAAACGAAGATAAAGGACTGACGGGGACTTCGTGACAGAGAAAACGTAGGCTTGTTTTCTGGTCGGGTACTCAAACAGATGGATATGGCTAATATCTTCCAGTCACAGAATTGTTGTCTAAATGTAAAAATGGCATTTAAAAGATGTAAAATGAATTGCAGAAATAAAACCAACTAATACTCACCACTGAGTGTAACTAAAGAAAGAATGTCAAGGGATTCTTGACTGGAGGAAAGTGCGACGACATCCTGACTCTGTCAGACTATTTCATACTTCCACACCTCTGAGAAGTGTAGAACGAAGTAAAGAATGACAGAGGTTTCGTGACCAGGGGAAAGGTGTGACATTATCCCTACTTTGTCAGACTTTTCCACACTTCCACACCTGTAAGAAGTGTGGAACTAAGTAAAGAATGACAAGGGGTTCGTTACCAGGGGAAAAGTGTGACATTATCCTTACTTTGTCAGACTTTTCCACACTTCCACACCTGTACGAAGTGTGGAACTAAGTAAAGAATGACAGAGGTTTCGCGACCAGGGGACAAGGGTGACATTATCCTGACTTTGCCAGAATAGGAAAGTAGGGTTATTTTACACTTCCTCACCTCAGACAAGTGTAGAACTAAGGATGAAAAAAGAACGTAGGGATCTTGTGGCCAGCGCTGGACATTTGTGCTCAATGTCAGTGAAAAGACAAAGTAAATAAACATCTTCTGAACTGAAGGTCCACAGATCAGACTAGATAGAGCTGCCGTTTATTTTTGACCTTACTGCAGATGTATGAATATTATGAATCGAAGCTCAAAAAACAAACATACTCAAATTTTATAGGTTTAGTTCAACCCTCAAGTCATTATAAATCAACTGGAAACTTAATTACTTCCAACTTGTAGTAGACATTGCATTCATAACGCAAACTTATGCTATTTCTTCTCCTATTTTATTTAACATTGGTCTTAGCCTGTCCCAGGCTCCCAGATAGTGGGGAAGACGCGAAAGTAAAAACATTGGTCTTGACAAGTCTGCCACAGCCTACTAGCGCCAGAACATACAATTTTCAGAGTATTCCATAGACGATTTGCAACAAGGAGTAGAGTTTTTTCTGCAGTAAACAAAAAGGAATCAATCAATGACATATCTGTGCATGCATCTTAAATTTAAGATTTATCTTTGAAGTTTTAAGCTTACGCAAAGTATATTAGAAAACCAATGTAACGAACCACGATACCAAGAAGAACATACCTTTCTGCAATAATCCAGCTGAGTTGCTGACTTGGAAACATGCTTTATGTGAAGAATTTCGCAACTGATCACTTTCTCTCGAAAATAACATGGGTATTATGGAAAGACAGTCTTTCTATTATCCGAAAATAACGAAAATACTCTGTTAGCAACGCTGTGTTGCTTGTGAAGTCCGCGTGAATTTGAACTATTCAACGGAATTTTATATTGGTTCAAAAGCCGCACCTGACATCGTAAATCAAATCGCGCATGTGCTAAAGTCACGGGGACGCATGGGATACAGGTAATGCGGCCATGTAAGGCCCACGAGACGTCCCGAATATATGAAATTTACATATCTGCTATATTGATATAACCCAGTTTACCTATGGTGTACCTATAAACGCCAATGTTCATGTTCCATAGTCCCCCGTTTAATCATGTTTACCCTATTTTATCCTCCTTTTTCCCGTTTACCAGGAGCCCATCAAATGGAGCCTCAATCTCCATTAATTTCTTGAGTCAACCCTTTCCCGAGTAGATTTATAAATAGAAGGGCTTGTTTCCAGCGAAAAGTGCATATTTCCGTGGGTCTCGTATGTCACCGTGAAAAAAATATAAAGTTGGATGAAGTCGAACTCAGAAGCCCGTCCTTCGACCGTTTTCCTTTTTACTATACGTCCATTTTTATGATTTTACAGCCGCTGGGATCTGGGTATCATGAAATAAAAGTTAATGAATTACCCGACTGAGACTGAGCACGAAGCGGATGGGACAAAGAGCGAAATGGGCAACTACTACATGCTAGCACACCATATAGTCGTGCAACATAAATTAAATGAACAGTGTGTAAAACGTCTTGTAAGTAGTACGCATTTCACAAAACTCCTCTTGTCTGTACCTTCTACTCCTCGCTTGTCCTTTTATGTCCTTTTATGTACTTATTCGTCCTCTTCCATCCTAACTATGTCCTCATTAGTCCATTTCTGTCCTTATTAATCCTTTTCTGTCCTTACTAGTCCTTTTATGTCCTTACTAGTCCTTTCCCGTCCTTACTAGTCCTTTTGTGTCCTTTTCCGTCCTTTTCTGTCCTTACTAATCCTTTTGTGTCCTTACTAGTCCTTTAGTATCCCTACTAGTCCATTCCCGTCCTTACTAGTCTTTTTCTGTCCCTACTAATCCTTTTTAGCGGGGCTCCCGCGCGCGAAGCGCGCGTAGGACAGAGCCCCATACTCATGGAATATGGTCAACCTCTTTTCGTTTGGTTGTCACGTGATTGACCGAACGTACGTACGTACGTACGCGTCTACAGATTGTACGGGTGGGGTAGGGGAGACTATCAAAAGGAAGGGAGGGGTGTCTCAGGCGTGTCTTGGCAAGTCCACATTTTTAATATAGGATTTTAGGACATTCACAATATGGTCAATTGACAGCTGTCAAAAGAGGATAGCCACTGACCAGTATCCCATGACAATATCGCGGGCTCATGTGTCAACTCATCGAGGTGACGTGATTTATTTGGAAGCTGTCCGCTGACCAGTTAATTGTTTTACTAGATCGCGAACAATGTTCAATCTCATACTTTTACTAGTTAAACTGATAATGCACACATATTGGACATCAATGTTTTGATATATTGACAGCTGTCAAAACAGGGTACCCACTGACCAGTATCACTTGACCGTATCGCGGGCTCAGGTGTCGACCCATCGAGGTCAAGTATTTTTTGAAGTTATCCGCTGACAAGTTACTAGTTTTCAAGTGATCGCAGGCTCACGTTCAAGTTTTTTCTAAATTCATATGAAATATGTTGTGTTTATGTGCTACACAATTAAAATTTTGATTGCAAACTGACCTCGGACGGGAAAATTCAGCCAGCTGATACAGGCAGGGAAGACAGTTGCTTTTGACTTTTCTCACCATGGTCACGCGTTGGTCTCGCTCTACGTCCAATTTTTATGCTCTGATTGGTCAAAATTTGACAGGTGAGTTCATGCGGAAAATTTATGCACCATCTTGAATCTTGTTTACTTTGACAGCTGAAGCTGAAAGAGTTTTGTGTCAACTTGTGATGTTTTTAACTGTCT